TTTTTAAAAGTTGAAACACAAAAGAGTAGAGAATAGAGCTATGGTATGTATGCACGTAAAACTATAAAGAACTACAGGAATATGTGCTGTGGTTATTGCTGTCTTTAAAAACACAAAAAACCAAACAACCGGTCGGCAACTCGGAATCTGAGGGAATCTTGTCTGACAACTGTGCTATCCGTGAGGGCTACTGTGGGATGGACGGCGGTGGAGATGGGACTCAGGCTGGTGACCAGGGACAGAGAAGGGGGCTGAGTGGGCGCGTGGTGGCGGGGCCCCTTTCCTGTGATCCTCCTCACTTGCCCTCCCCCCATCCAAATGGATTGAAGGAGAAGAGGCCAGAGTCTGTGAAATGGCTAAACTATATACTCCATTAGAAAACCACGAAAGTATGATTTTTTAAAAGTAACTAAACCCTAAAAGAAAAAAGAAAGTGGAGAAACGGCACAAAAAAATTCTTGCACTTTAGTGGTTTTAAAAACAAAGACAGTACAACGCTCAGGTTGCTGGTTGGGAAAACCCCCATTCCCTTGTCCCAATGCTTGTTAAAACTTAGCCTCCTTTTTCTTGGAAGCCAAAAAATTCCTCTTGGAGACTAGAGAGTCTCTTCTCCTTGGCCCACTCCTCTCTGAAGCTCCCATTCTAGGGGTTCTGAGTTGATGGATGGAAAGGGGGTCCTGCTCCACCTCGAGGGGGCTTGGTGGTTGCCGTGGCAGCCCTGTCGCTACCGAACAAGGTGGTGGTGGGAGTGGGAGGGCGGTGGCTGAGGCCCACTTCCTCGGAGGAGGTTGTCCCTGCGGGGATGCCATGGAGACCAGAGAGGCACCAAGAAGATGGGGCAAGGGAGGGGCGTGACCACACAGGGCCTCCCCGGGCCTCCTGTGTCTACCTGCCTCCCCCGCGTGGGGGCTACGTGTCTCCAGGCCTGTCTGTCTGGGCCTGGCTGTCAGAGAAACTTCCCAGTCTTTTCCTTCCCAGGTACCCTGCTTTACCTGGCATCGGGGCAGGCTGGGGGAAGGGGATCAAACCTGGCTAGGCCTCCCTCAATGACCAGGTAGCAGTGGGGGAAGATGGAGGTGTCCTCTCCACTGCTGGAGTGAGGCATGAGTCAAAAGGGGACGGGAAATGACCTTCCATGGGGCAGGTGGGCCACACTCTGACCTGGGGCCATAGATAACCCGGAGTCTAAGGCCTCTGGGTGAGCCGATCGTTAGCCAAAGGCCAGGCTGGGGCAGGGAGACCCTGTCCAGGACTTAACATGCTCGCACCATTCCAAACCTGCCTTTCCTCCCACCTGTCAAGGGGAAGAGAATCCACCTTCCTTCAGTGACTCCTTCCTGTGGTCTCCCCACCATGGGCTCAGCCAGAGCTCCCATTTAGGAAGTTTAGTTCCATCTGTCCATGGAGGTCCAGCTTCCTCTAGGTAGTAGCCAGCTGCCCAGAGGCATCTCCTGCAAACAGTGGAGACTCACAGGTTTGCGTTAATAGGCATGAATTTGGAAGCCTGAAGAGTCTGGCGACTTTATCCTGGCCACGATCCCCCACCTTGGCTGGCTGACAGTGAAGAGCCAGCGTAAGGGGCAGAGGTCCGTTCGAAGTCTGCAAACAGCGCAAAGTCTGGCGACTTTATCCTGGCCACGATCCCCCACCTTGGCTGGCTGACAGTGAAGAGCCAGTGTAAGGGGCAGAGGTCCATTCGAAGTCTGCAAACAGCGCAGCAAACAGCGCAAGGGTGGGGTGGGAGAGCCCCTCCCAGGAATCAAGTCCAGGCCTGGGTAGGGTGGGAGGAGTATGCAGTTCCTGGCTCAGTCTTTTCTTAGGGGGAATGGTGCCCCAGTATCCACTTGGCAGATCCCAGTTAGATAACTGCTCAAGATCCAAACGAAGAAAGGGCAGAAAGAAGAGTGACGTGGAAAAGGTTTAGGATACTGGCCTAAGACGTACAGAAATCTGAGTTGGGCTTGGGGACAGTTTTGCAGAGAGATGGGTGCAGTGACAGGACAGGTCAAAGTCCCCATGGCTGCCATCCCCCTCGGAGACTGGCCGCCCTTCCCGTCCCCAACCAACTGTCCTGTCCGGGGGAGTAGGAGACACCCCACACTCCATAGCTGTAAGTTCTCTCTTAGTTGAAATATGTTTGCTTCTCTGCTGTCCCTCTTTGATGCCCCAAGTTCGGTGTTGGAGGTGGTCCCCCCTGTGCCATGCCATCAGGAAGGAGTGGAGGGAGTGTGTCCACAGCAAGGAAGAGGCCCCTTGGCCAGTGTCCAAGCCCCCTTGCTGGCAGGCTGTCTTCAGCTTTAGGGGACAGTTCCAAGGCTGCCCATTTGTTGAGGAAGTCAGTGGAGAATGGGATTTTCCTTGGTTCAGAATCTGGCTGCCAAAGGACAACACCCCTGAAGTATCCTCTCCCTGGCTGTCCTGGGCCTTTCTTCCACCCTCCGCCTCAGGGAGGAAGCACGGACTGGCCAGACAGACAACAGCTCGTGAGACTCTGGCCTCCGTCCCTCCTGCAGGCTGAAGCTGTCCCATCTGAGCACACAGTCTTGTCCCTTCAAAAGCAGGGCCAGTCTCTACCGATCCTGTTCCCATCCAGATTCTAAAGTCTAGAACCCACCTAAGATCGCCTGCCATGGCTCCACGTCCTCGATTAAGCTCTGTCTTACAGCCTGTCCCCCATTTTCCTCTCTCTTCCCTCCCGAATCCCAGAGGGCTCATGAGGTGGGGAAGCCAAGGAAGGTTCGATCGGCTTTTCCCACTCTCTGCTGCTTCGCTCCAAGGCTGCAGCGAGACAGTCAGGCCCTGCTCCTCCAGCCCTCTCTGGCCTGTGTCCCTACAAGCGAACCTTGTCACCACCATCTCCCTCTTTGCCATCTCTCATTTCGGTCTCTCTCCTGCTGAGCCAGTGTGGAGACTGAGAGAGGCTTTCAAGATACAGGTTCTATCCAGAGGAAGTGCAAAGTCTGGGGCAGAGCCAGTGGGTCGAACTTGGACCTGTTGGCTCGTTTGGTGTGGAGTCTAAAGACAGTCACTTCCTGGGGTCTGAAGCCTCAGGTGGGATGTACTGGGGAGCATGGTGTGCGCCCCACTGCATGTGAGCATCCACCTGGCTTGGTGGGCACAGAGAACACGCCTGGGAAATCATTAAAACCCAACACTGTGCCCCACAGAGTGGCACTTGCTGTTCACGGGAAACCCCTGCCTAGCGGCCAGCAAAACTGACAGCATGGGTTGTCTTAGAGGAAAGGAGCATGGTGTGCGCCCCACTGCATGTGAGCATCCACCTGGCTTGGTGGGCACAGAGAACATGCGTGGGAAATCATTAAAACCCAACACTGTGACCCACAGAGTGGCACTTGCTGTTCACGGGAAACCCCTGCCTAGCGGCCAGCAAAACTGACAGCATGGGTTGTCTTAGGAGAATACGGGAAACCCCTGCCTAGCGGCCAGCAAAACTGACAGCATGGGTTGTCTTAGAGGAAAACGGGTTTTCCTGGTTTTTCCAGAATGGGGAAGCTCCTCAATGCCTCCATAGGAACTACTTTGAAAAGTTAATGCAAACCTTAGGAAAAAAGGAAGGAAGAAAGAAAAAAAAAAAGATAATAGATTTATATGCCTATATATGACTATACGGAGCCTTGTAGATAAATACAAGCCCACTTTTTTTTTCCAGCCTATCCTCCCCCACAGAGGCTGCTGCACTAGTTGCAAATGGAAGGAAATGAGGGGCCAAAACCACACGTTTTTTTAGTCCCCCAGGAGGAACAAGGCTTTCCAATATGGGGGTGCATATTGACTTCCAGAAGTCTGCATGGGGACTGAAATATGCACGCACATTTAATGTGTGTGTGTCTGCTTAGGAAAACCTATCTATTTAATATTACTCAATTATAAATTCATTTTGTTTGCAGAGAAACGGAATGCATTTTAGTTTTTATAAATTTGGGGGAGAGGCAACACTGGCCAGGGTAAGAGGAGAGGAAGGGCGGGGGAGCTGGCTGGGGGAGGAGGCCGATCCCGGACAGGCACTGGCACTGGCACATCGTGTCTTTTCTTTTCTCCCCCTGGCCAGTCCAAACTGGGAAAACTCCAAGGGTGTCCTCAATGCCACCTCTCAGGCCCCGCCCTCTAGTGCCCCCACCTCTGTCCACCCCCAGGCCAGGACTGGATGCACAGGGGGATCCAGCCCTGGTCCTGGTGTCCTTTCCCTCTTGCTCACGTGCGTCCCTTCCTGTCCCTAACTCTGCTCTCCTTTCCCGCTCATCTGCACAAACACTTTCTTCCCTTCTCTTCCTTTCTCTGTTCATTCAACCTGCCTCAAAAAGAAAACCATTTGAAAAAAAGGGGTCTTCTTAGCTTTTTGCATCTCTGTTGTTGCCATTTTCAATGCTGAGCCCTTGCTAGAGATTCCGAGGTCCTCAGTTTCCTCAAATGGATATAGATATATGTATATTTCCCCTACATGAGATGAATGAGTGGCGTCCTGGGGTGGAGGGAGGCGCTGGCTGGTTGGGGCTGGGGTGGGAAGGACGAGGGAGGGACGGGGAGGGGACGCATCACTCAACGTTGCTGCTGTCGAAAGTGTGACACTGGAAGTCCCCGTCGACGTACTCCATGCCTGGAAGCTTCATCCCGTACTTGTCCACGCACCAGCAGATGCCACGCTTGCGGCCACGGGAAGGCTTGCACTAGGTGGGTAGAGCGAGGGGCAGTGAGGACTGTCCCCGGAGGCTCTGCACCTGCCTGTCCCACCCCCTCCCCTCCCTGAGTCAGACTCATGCCCAGAGAGCTGGGGGGCTACACCCACGCTTGGGGTTCTGGTGTCTGCGTTTCATGGGAGGGCCCAGGGAAAGATGCTGATTTAGGCTGCCTACCCTTTGCTGGCTCCTACCATCTCTTTTTAATGTTACCCATTCAGGGTCTTCCAACCTGGTATTTTCCAGGGATTCTCAAGAGAGTTACATGTTTTGATGATGATAATAATAATAACAAAATGATAATAGGTGACATTTGGGCAGCTTTACCATGTGCCAGTCACTACTTAACACTCACTACATAGTAGGTACTAAGGGCTTTACAAAGATTAATCGCATACTCCTCACAACTCGTGTTATTCTCCATTTTACATGAGGAACGGGAGGCACAGAGACATTAAATAGCGAGTAATTTAGGGGACGCAACTCCTAAGTGGCAGAGCCAAGATTTGCCTCAAGGCGGTCTGGTTCTTAACCTGACTTAGCTTAGGGGTGGCGTTTAGTAAGCATCAGGGTCACCTGGGAGCTTGTTAGAAAGACAAAATCCTCAGAGTCCACCCCAGACCCACCAGTCAGAAACCCTGGGGTGGGGAGGCCCAGCAGCCAGCGCTTTAATGAGCCCTCCAGGTTATTCCTCGGATGCCCACGGACATTTGAGAACCATTGCCGTAGGTAATCTGTACCACTTCAAGAAGCTCAGAAAGTAGAGCTGCCCAAAGTGCAGCCTGGCTGTGAAAGAACAGGAAATGACATCAGGTGATACATGGAGAAAATATGTTTTAAAGTCGTGTGCGTGTGCGTGTGTGCGCACGTGCGCATGTGTGTAATCATTAAAGAGTGTAAGCGCACATACGGCATGTGATGTGATAAGGATAAAGTTTCCTGTTTCAATGAATTCAAGCAGATAAGGCGAGTCCATGAAAAGTTAAGTAGATTATAGCCTAGGAGATAAAGGGGAAAATCATGCTTGTGGCATGTGAATGGATAGTGGAGGTTCAAGAAACAGTAAATCCTGAATGGTAGAAATCTTAGGCACCTGCCCGAGGTGTCCTGGTAGGTGACACTGTAGGGGCAAGGAGCAGGGACGTACCTGCTTTCTCTTGTAGAATCCTTTGCGGTCACAGTTGGGCAGGTACACGGCACGGGGCACCATGCGGGGGCTGGCTTTGAGCTCCTGCAGGGAAGCCTCCATGTGTCTGCGGCAGGGGCCCTGTGAGGACGGGTGGGATGAGAAGCTGAGCAGGACCAAGTGGAGACCACCCAGATGTGCAAACACGTGGCCCAGGGGGTGGGGCCGGAGGGACTCTGGAGGAAAGTCACCACCTTTGGTTCTAATCAGCTGCTGCCAAGGGCCTTTCCTCTCTCCCACCTGCCGCGTGCCCTGGGAGTGTACAAAGCCTGCATTTGGCCAGTTCCAGAACTGTATTCTCCCTTTGGTCTTGCAGATCACCCACCCTCAGCCTTTCTATTCTGCCGAGTGATAATGTCCAGAGGTGGCTGTCTCTGGATGCTCTAGGAGAATGTCCAGCCTCTGCTCAGGACTGGATGCAGCTCCGGGGTTCACACCTGGCAGTGGTCGCTGGGCTGGCAGGCAATCACTTTCCTTGAATGAGCACTTATGTCTATTCCCACTCTTCTTGGACAAGCCCTAGATCCTGATAAACGTAAGCTCTGAAAATTGTCCTCCTGAATCCTAGATTGAGCCCCTGTGGGAAGTGGCAGGCCCTTTGCTGGGTCTAGCCTAAGTATCTTCCTGCCAGGAAGGCCCATTTAGATGCAGGGAAGGGTCAAATTTGGGGCATGGCAGAGGGAGAGAGATGGGAAGCGAAGCCCAGAGACTCACCTGCTCAGATTCCTGTCTCATCTCAGGCGCAGAGATGACCCGGGGGTGGGCGGTGTTCTCGGCGCCCCCCACAAACTTGGACTGGGTCAGCTTCTTTCTGCGGTCTTTCTTCACTGCCTCGGCCTTCAGCTCAGAGATGCGGGTGTGCTTGGGGCGGAACACCTTGGGTGAGTAGGTCTCCTCGGCCATCTCGGAGGTGGTCGGCTCCTCTTGCTCCCGAGAGTCTCTCTCTGCAGGGAGGAGCAGAAGCTGGTGAGCCCGGGTGGGCGCAGGGGCCCAGGCCTGGCAGGTGTGAGCTGAGGGGAATCACAAAGTCTGCAGCAGAAGGGTCTCTGCCTCCCGGAGCTCACTAGACTGAGCCAAGCGGGAATAAGAACCAGGGAGGAAGCGTCAACACGATGCAAGTGGTGGCAAGTTCCTGGCATGACTGGATCAGGGAGAGCGAGGGCAGGTAGAAGATTTTGAGGACCAGGAGAATCATGAAAAAGTCATGCTGCTATAGGAGGGGATGTTTGTCGGGAGGGAGAAGACATTAGTGGCCCATGGAAGGCTGTGGCAAGGGGCTTGCTCACCAGGGAAGGCTGAGTGCATGGTGGTGGCTGCAGGTGGGGCTGAGACCTAAGAATGCAACCTGGAGAACTGAACCGGCAGCAGAAGATAGGCACAGCCAGGGTGTGGCAAGAAAGGCCAGGTCTGTGCTCCTTGTGAGGTCTTGGCACTTTCAGAACTGCTGGCAGTGGGGGTGGGGAGTTGAGATATATTTGTATCTGGGGAACCAAGGGTAAGGGGGTCCTGGAGTCTGGAGCAGCAGGGTGGTGAGGACCATCATGAAGAGCAGGAAGAGGGGTCCTGGGAGATGGGAGAGCCAGAAATGTGGGGCCTGGAGGGGAGCGGCGTGGGGGCCAGTGGGTTCTGGAGGCCTTACTCCCCGCTCCGGCCCAGAACTGGCGCCGTGCTCGGGGCCCTTGGAGCCAGAAATGTGGGGCCTGGAGGGGAGCGGCGTGGGGGCCAGTGGGTTCTGGAGGCCTTACTTCCCGCTCCGGCCCAGAACTGGCGCCGTGCTCGGGGCCCTTGGCGGCTGGAACATTACTCAGCTCCTGTCTGGGAGCGGCCAACAGCTGGCTGGGGCCGGAGCAGTTATATATAGGAGTGATTGGTGACAGTCTATACTTAGCTGACTTTTGACCTTTAGAGAAGTAGGATTTTGTTCATGTATTTGTTGATCTCTTAATTCCACCCGTCCAGCCTTTTTCCAGTCCACAGATTTCCACTGGATTTTTATCTCATGGTCTCCCATCTCTGGGTCTCCTTTCTTCTCTCAGCTCTTTGACTCCCCCTCACCCCAGTCTCAGTAGATCCAGAGTGGGGAGACCTTAGATTGCTGTTCCTAGGTGGGCAGGGTGCCCCACAGTGAGACCAGGTGCAGGGGTTGGGCATGGGCAGGAGGCCCTGCCTTCACACCCTCTTTTCAAATACTCCAAAAAGGAAACAAGGCTTTGGGTGACCCCAAATAATTAAAATGGGATGAAAGAAAATTCTATTCTCCACCCATTTCACTCTCCCTGGAATACCTAGGAACTGTGATAGCCAGGCATCTGGGATGGGAAATAGAAGATTTCAAGGAAGTGGGGCTGGAGGGGGGTGTCATGAGGAAGGAGAAGCTTCTTAGATGACAGTTTTATGTCCCAGGACAGGTGCAGAACCTGACTTCTGAGCTCGCAGCCCTAGGGAGCTTCCAGGTGTGAGTTAGGGGAGGCATTTGGAGACCTGGTCTAACCTGGCCAGGGTGACAGGTGGCAGGAAGTACCCAAGCATCTGTTTCTCTCTTAGCTTGGGATTTGTCAAGTTTAATGAAATAAAACTTGTATCCGGTCTTCAGGGTCCTGGCAGGGAAGTTCCCCACCCTGAAGAAGACTCCCAGGGTGTACAGTGTTGCTGGTGGTTAGTTGCTTTGGGTATTTACTCACAGAAGAGGAGGGGAAGTAGTCACTGGAGAGGAAGACGATGATGGGGTAAAAGCAAACAGCAAATCAGTGGGCAGGCTCTCCCTGAACAAAGCTCAGCACGAGGATCCCAGTCCCCCATTTTGCCCTCTTACCCCCCACTTCCCATATCTTGATGTCCCCAGCACCCTGGCTCTACTTTATCAAAACTTGCTGTGACGATTCATCAACAGGCTGATGTGCCTTGCAGGTGGCATGTGGCATT